CAGGCAGCCCCCGGCACCCCGAAAGGGGCGTACGGAGCTGGGCGGTGGGGGAGACCCGTCTCCAGGCGCCCCGTAAGGGATGGACGGCATCAGAGGGGACATACGGCTCCAGGCACGCCGTAAGGGATACGCGGTGCTGGATGGGGTACGTACAGCCCCCAGCGCCCCAAAAGGGACGGGCGGTGCTGGAGGGGGGGGTCTACAGCTCCGGGAGGGGAACCGTACACCTCCAGGCACCCCATAAGGGGCACCCGGTGCCGGACGGGGTAGGCACAGCCGCCGGCACCCCCAAGGAACACTTGGCCAGCCGAGGGCCGGACCGGGGCGCGCGGCGGGAGTACGCCGCGACCCCTGGCCCATGGGGGTGCCCCCAGCCGACGCGGCCGCTCCTCGGACCGGGGCCGAGGTGCGCCGGCACCCGCGCCAAGCCGGCCTGGCTCCCGCCGCCCCAGCCCCGCCGAGGCGACCGAGGGGCCCTGACCCCGCTGCATGGATGGCGGGCCCGGGGCCGAGCGGCTCTGCCGCGGAGGAACGAGCTGCTCCGTGACTCACCGCCGAAGCACGGCCTTCTCCTCCCAACCCCGGAAAAACCAGCGCGCCGCCGGCACCCGCGCCAAGCCGGCCTGGCTCCCGCCGCCCCAGCCCCGCCGAGGCGACCGAGGGGCCCTGACCCCGCTGCAGGTGGATGGTGGCCCTGGGCCGTGTTTGCCAGCCCCCCGCTGCCATGAAACCCCTGGGCACCCCAAAACCCAAACCCCCTCGGCTCAGCCCCTCCTGCCAGGGCAGCACCGGTGCCGGCACAAGGCGGGATAAACCCCGGCATAAACCAGGCTCAAGGGAAACCAGCACGGCTGGAGCACACGCCCCGGCTAAAAATCTGATTTTAGGTGTATTTGCCTGCAGGTTTTGGGGCAGCCCCGGCTTTGGTGGCTGCAGCTCGTGCACCCCAATTTTCCTCCTGCAGGAAAATCAGCCGGCGGAGCATCCCGGGGAGCTTGGCCGGGGCTTTGGCTCCGGCACCTGGCGGAGAAGAGGAATTTCCTGCAGGGCTTTAACCCAGGGCGGCTCTCCAAGGCGAGGGCAGCGTCCGCGCCAGCTCGGGGTCAGCCCGGGCCGCCCCGAGAACCGGAGGAAAATTGGCCGGCGCGGGCAAGCCGGCACCGACGTGGCGCTGGGCACGGCCTGGCCGCTCGCCGAGGCTACGAGGAAGGAAAAACACCGGGAGTGGGAATAGAAAAGCCCAATGCAAAGAAATCCTGCGGGAAGCACTCCCACCTCCCCGGACAAGCGTTTCCATCCAGCCCCAAAGCCCCCAGCAGCGGCGGCACAGGGCGAGGACGCAGCCGCCCTTCCCCGCTTGCAGCCCGGGGCTGCGCCGCCGAGGCCGTGGTTGCCGGTGAACACGCTCGGAGCGAATTTTCCTCTTTCTGAACCCATTTAAGCTTCAGCATCCAACACGCCCTGCGCCAGCGAGAAGCTGGATCTCATCTTTCCGCTGGAGAAAAGCTTTGCTTGGGTATTAAATTGTTTAAAGCATCCCCGGGCACCGGCCTTCGAACGCAGCCGGGGAAAAGGTTCCTCCCAAAGCAGCGCGGACGGGCGACAGTGGAGACGGAGGGGCGGCTGGGGCGGTTTCTGTTTTAAATGTCAGCGCGAACGCGGTACCTAAATAGAAGGAAATCTGCCCCCGGCCCCAGGGAAGAGGGTGGAAGGAGGACGCTGCGCGCCGGAGCGGAGAAAAAGCCCCAAACCCCCAATAACCGGATGGAGGAGGGGATGAGGAGCGGCCCCAAGGCGGGGAGCTCGGGGCACGGAGGACGGGGACACCCGGAGCCCCTCGGGGGTGAATCCCGCGGGAGAAGCGGAGGAAAGAGGCTCGGCCGCTGCCCGGGGCTCAGGAGTTGAGCGTTGTTTATTGGCAGTGAATCTACGGTAGCACGAAGGACGCGGCGTACAGCCCGACTGCTCGCTACGGCGGTGCCCCCGGCGAGCGGAAACCCCCAAGTCACCGTTCAATTCCATTCTTGAATTCAAATATTGAATTAAAACAAACAAACAAACAAAAAGTCTTTTATGAATAAACAATGGCAGAATGAGTTCAGGTCACTTCCCAGCGATGACCAGAGCATCCCCCCGGCCTTCCCCCAGCGGGGCCGGCTGCCGTCGGTGAAGGTAAATGCTCCGTTCGACAAAATAAAATGCTCATTAACGGGTTTTGCACACCCTTAAAGAAAATCTTCACTGCCCCCAGGGCCGGAGGGCAGCGACGCTTCGCCGACACCAGTAAGTGCACTTATTTAAAACCCGGGGATCGCGCCGCAGCCTTGCCGTCGCCGAAGGGAGAAAACCCCTCCCGGGGCAGGCTCGGTGCTCCTCCTCCCCGCAGGGTGCTGTGGGGGCTCCCGCTCCCCCACCCAACCCACCCCGCTTTAAAAAATAGGCGCCGGAAAAATATCGGGTCCCACGCCCCGAAAACACGGCGCGGGCAGCGGCTTTAGGGTGTTTCTGAACCCAACCGGCGGAGGGGAGAGATCATCTTTCAATAAATACAATTTGTAGTTAATAGTCCCTTACAAAAGAAAAAAAGAATTTAGTTTCACCATAAAGGAAACAAAAATGACCTGAAAAAATCCTTCGTGGTTCTGAAGAAGCGCAGGGGCTTCGGTGCGACCCGGGGAAAAGCTGAAAAAACGCGGTGCAAAGATTTCTCATCATTGCCTGAAGTTCAATTTTTTTCCCCCTATTTGGATTTTAAAAAAAAAGCTACAAGCTCTACTAACCCCAATAAAATCCGGCAGCGCCGGCACCGCAGATCCCGCCAACCCCCGGCGCCGGGAGCCCCGCGTGCGCCGAGGCCGCGGGGCCGCGTCCGACCCCCGCACCGGAGAGCCGCTTTTGGGGCGCTTGGCCCCTTCCCTCCAGGTTCGCACCCCCTCCCCGGCGCTGCCGCTCCGCGGAGAGGCACCCCGACACAGCCAAACTCCGGTAATACGAACGCAAAGCCCCCGGCCAAACGTGTTTTCCCCCCCCAAAAAAGCCTCGGGAGGAGAAAGAGCGCCCACAGCTCTGGCCGTACGGGGTTTGAGAGGGTTTTTGGTCTTTGGTCGAGCATCCCCCTCTCCCACCGCTTTCGGCAGCAGCCGGAGGAAAAATAAGCAGCAGAAATGGGTCTGTACAAACCAAGCGACCCCCGGACAGCGAGGAAGCCGTTTGGTTTTCAAACATCTCGGCTTAATATTTGGGATGAACCAAGAGATGGCCGCGGGGTGACCGGGCCGAGAGCCCGCGGCGCTTCACCAGCACCGAGCATCCCCGCGCCCCGGGTTCGAGCACCGCGGCTTTACCGCGGCGCGAGGGAAGGCTTCGCCGCCCGGCGCCTCCCCTACGGGAGCGGCGCCGGCCCCCGCTGGCACCGACCGCAGGTTAAAGCCCTTCCGCAGCCGGGCAAGGCTCACCTGCACTTGGCCATTTAATAAAACCAAAGAGCGCGACTCCAGCCGGCGTTAAACCATCCCCGGGCTATTCACAACCGAGCAGCTTCGGTGGCTCGACCCAAACCGTTAGGGCCACGCTTAACGACCCCGCGCCGCCACCTCCTCCGGAAAAGGCCTGAATTGGCGGGTTTTTAGATAGACATTAAACTGGTAAAACTTGCGGGTTAGAACCGAGCCTCAGCGGATTTGTGGGAATAAGGCTTCAGGTGATTCGCCGGCGTTAAGTACACTTTCACCTCCTCGGCCCCGTTTTCTCGGCCCCGCGCCCCGGGAAGGGCAGCGGGCGGGAGCGGCACGGGAAGGGATTGCATAGTTCGATGCCTTCTGAAAAACAACAAAAACCCAAAAAACCAAAAAGAGGGAATGGTGTAAAGCTCTGAATTATCGGTATAATTCATGGTTTATTTTCACGTGGTAAAACGCTGAACCTTGCTGTATACAGGATCGAGTCCGGTTTGGGAGCTGTAGTTACAAAAAAAGAAAAAAAAAAAAAGGAGAAGGAAAAAAAAAAAAAAAAAAAAAATTTGGGAAAACATTGCAGGGCAAAAGGGAACCCCC